GATTTCTAGTTTACAATAATTTACTAATTTGTTTCTGCTCACCTGGAGCTCCAGCCGGGTGGAGTCAGTCTGAGTTCCTTCATCATCTAAAGAGCTGGAGAACATTGAAGCTCCTCCTGGAAAACATGGAGCTTTGGAAAGAAATGAGCAGGAAGTGAAAGAAAAATGGATCTTCATCACTTGTGAAGTGACGACATCAGAGTTGGATTCAGTGGAGTCACATGAAGAACAGAAACACTGAGGCTAGAATAATAAACATCATGCTAAATATTAGCTGCAGCTGTCAGAAGAAGCTTCAGGTTGAATCTAAAGAAGCTGAAGATCTCAGAGTGATGAGAGGAAACCTGATGAGCTCTACAGTCCACTAGATCCAGACCAGAACCTGGAGAACATCTACGCTGGAAGCAGAGCCACAAGCTAGAAAAAGATCCAGGTTTCTATCAACCTGAACACAGGAAGTCCTTTCTTCTTCTGCTGCAGCTGAGAAGGTCCTGCTGCAGAACTGAAGCCACACAGTTCCTCCTCCACAGCAGAACAGAGGAGGTTCTGGAGGAGACCAGGGTCCACATCTGGACTCAGAGTTCTCCTGAGCTTCAGCAGAGCTGCTGGCTTTGGTTCTGATCCGCCTCTGTTCTGGTGTCTGATCTTCAGAGACGATCTGAACCGACCCATCAGAACTCAGTGGAGGATGAGGAGGAGGAGGAAGAGCCGTGGTTCATCCCTCTGTTTGTCACTGATTCACCTTCTTGTCGCCTGTTTGGGTCTTTTCTCCACCAGCATTAAAATTCTGCTGATTCATGTTGGTATCCAGTCAGAACTTTTATTATTCCAACATCATGAAGGTCCAAACCCATCAGCTCTTCTGCTGTTCTGGCTGCAGAACTTCCTGGTTCTGAGGACATTGAGTCTGTGAAAAGCATTAAGACAGAAACTTTTCTGAGGAGGTTCAGAGTCGGTGGAAGAACCAGAACCAAACAGAGACGATGTGATGGATGAACGGTGGGTTCTGGATCCTGAAGCTGTAAGATGACAGTGTGATGAGAACCTGAGATGTTCTGATGAGGACAGAGATCAGGATGTCGACCCGACTGCAGTCATCAGTCTGATGCTGGAACAGAAGTCATCAGGGAACAGCCTTCAGTTGATCCAGCTGTGTTACCATCAGTTGACCAGAATCTGGACCAGAACCAGGCCTGTGTGTTCTCTGCAGTAAGAGACTGGTGTGTTCAGTGTTTCTGTGATTTGGACCTTCATCCATTTTACTTCAGAACATGAGAGGTAAATCTCCCCTTTGTGGGTCTCAGGATTCTGACAGACTTCAGTCCAACTTTACCTCCTTCATAAAACGAAGCACAAAAACTGTTTTCACTATTTAGTTTAAAACTAATCTCTGTAAAAAAACAAAATAAAAAACCAAACCAAAACAGTTGTGAGGATAAAACCAACCGATTTATTTCAGCTCTGCACCAGAAACACAAAGCATCTCATGTCGTTCTCATTGTGTCAAACATGCTCAGCATACAGGCATCGATACGCAACAACCGAGTTCAAACTGCAGGCATCAGAGGAAGAGACGCGTTTCCAAAAATAAAACCAACTTCAGGACTTTCTGGTCTGTTATTCAGACATTCACAGCCGACAAAACCTCACAGACAGGAAGGTTCAACAGGCACAACATGAACGCAACATAATGTTCTGGTTTCAAGACGACATGTTGAAAACAAACAAAATCAAATATAGAGCATTAAGCTAAATGTAGCTTTAAAAATATAAACAAAGACCAGCGGTGCAGAAAACTAACCGTATCAAAGATTATCATGATTACAAGGCAGTGGTTCCACAACTGGTCATGCAACATATATGTAATCATTTATGGAGGATTAAAAGGAATTAAAGCTCCACGTCTTTTCCTCCTTTCTGAAACATTAAAAGATGCTAAGAGTTGGTTTAGTCTGGAGCTCATTTGGTGTTTTTCTGAATTACTGAAATTATTCAGTATTTTTATTATTAATATGGAGATTATTGTTCATTTCTCCAACACAGATCATTTGAGCCATTCTTGGCATGTGAGGTATTCCATAGATTACTGCTGCAGCAACAAGTTTGTTTTTTAGCAAACTTCCAGTCACAGATAAATAAAACTAACTGTTCCCAAAACAATAAAACAAACTAATTATTTTTAGTAAGTGAAGTAATGAAGCCAACAATGAAGCACAGTGGCGGTAAAATAATGATATGAGTTTATAAGAAGGACATGTCAATAATTTAAACAAAAAAAAGTTTCATGGTTGTTGGGTGAAAATCAACATGGATCAAATCAATCATCCACAGGGAACATTTATAACACATAAATGGCAGAAATCGTGAAGTTATGAAAACTTTTCTGATGCAAATGAGGCAAATTAGGCACCAAAACTGATTTCTTCCACCTAGACAGAAAAATGGGAAAACTTTGAGTCACTCCTGTTAGCATCGTGCTAGCAGATATGAAGGCTACTGGCTTAGCAACAATGCTACATTAGTAAATAAATACTTTGTTAGTGTCGTTAATTAAATGTATCTGGGTCACTTGTCCCTCTGGAAATTCATTCAACCATTAGCTAAAAACGCATCAACATTTTATAACTGTCAGCAAAGCCATTTAACTAAACTATGAACTTATTATTAGAAGTATTTTTATGAATTTAGGAAATAACTGTCACAAAAATCTGTCCTAACCAAACAGCCCGGCGTCTACAGGACAGTTTGTACTGGAGAAAGTCGGGCATGAAAAAACACAAAAATGGCAGAGAGAAAAACGAACGGCAGCCTAACTGAGCATTTATTACTTTGTGATGGACATCCACAGTTAAAACATTCAAATTTTTACACCATATGAAGAGTCAAACAATGTAGGTTTAAATAATTTACTCCAAGCTCTGATGTTTGCGTAAAAAAAAAGCTGGCTCTGCTAAGCTAGCATGACTATGAATAAGATAAGTTGGTGAGGCAGATAAAGAAAATAAAATATACATCAAATTGCTTTAAAAATATGCAAAACCTTGAACTGATGTTACATTAAAATATCCTTGAAGCTAACTGTGTAGCACTGAAGCTACATTAGGTATAATGATGCTAACTGAGCTTCATTCGCTTTAAACTTCAGGTTCCTTTGTGCTGGAAATGAACTGCAGCTTTAAAGTGTACAGATGACAAAACAATGCCAATACTAGTCATTTTTATGTCATGCTAAAATATGCTAGGTGGCTATGCTAAGTCAGCCTATCTTTAGCATGCTAGTGCCTTTTGATCAGAAGTAAACCAAATGAAAATAAAGCAAAGCCTGAAGTTTATTTTTCAGTTAAAATGACAATGAGCTACTGGTGATACATTAGCATCCTGCTAGCAGTTATGAAAGCTAACTGGCTAGCATCAATGCTACATTAGCTAATGAGTCTTTTGTATCCGCTGTTTAAAAAAGTAAATAAATGTTAACTGAGGTTTAATTTTGGACGACCATTTGTTGTGGATGTCCACAATAATAACAACAAAATATTTATTACAACATATCAAAACAAAAAGATGGTTTAGTTGCAGTGGATCTTAAAAGTGTGGACAGGCTGTGAAAAATTAGTTTTTTGTTTTGATGAACTGCTGAAAAATATCACTCCTAACTGTAGAAACATGATTACTGTGAACACAGTTTTGAGAGCCACTGTAATTTCTTTTCTGTTTTCACCAGCAAACATTGTAGGCTAAGCTAGGTTAGCTTGATTTTTTATCATGTTAGTGAAGTTAGCAAGAATGAAAAAATGTTCACAGAGCAAGAAGTAAAGCAAGAAATGTGACTTAAACTGTCTTAAAATCTGCAGCTGCAGTTGTTACATTAGCATCATGCTAGCAGCTACATAAGCTAACTGCTAAGCTAATCTGGACCACTTTCTACTTGCAATTCAACATTTAGTGATGGTTAGCTGACCTTGTATCATTTTTTACTACAATTTCAGGTCGAGCTGTGTTTCCATTTTCATTTATTTTTAAATTAAACTGAATATTATGTTTTTTCTGGGCTCTTTGTTTTGGCTGAAGCTGAAATACTCCCATAAATTAGCTAAAAAAGCTTTGATTAATAAAAAAATAAATCAAACTGGTCACAAAAAGACATCACAAACAGTTTTATGTTGAGAAACGCTGCTGGAGCCTCTCCATGTTTGTGTCAGACTCCCAGTAAAGCCTGTTAATATAAAACACATTTGGCACATGTTCAGTAAACGTCTAAAACAAAGCTTCTCTAATGTGTGGTTGGTACCGGTCCGGCAGAGCGGAGAGAAACAAAGGAGCATAATTAAAACACATTGGTCCCACTAATCCTCAGTGTGGTCCAGGATAAAAAGCTTCATTCTCACAGCCTGGCATTAAACTCGTTTCAGCCCAGATTTGACCCAAAGTTCGACCTTTTCCTGCGGTGAAGCCATGAACTGAGGTTGGATTTCTGGTTCTGATAAACGGTGAAGCAGGAGCCTGCAGAGTTTAATTCCCAGGCTGCAGGTTTTCAGCGAGGCACATTATGCGTCTGACAGCGATGACGGCGCCCCCTTCTGGTTCAATTTGCTCCTCAAGGCTGACAGGCGGAGGCTGCGATGCCTCGGGTGTCCACTAGAGGGAGCTGCAGTGTGTTTGTTGTCAGAGCTGCAAACAGGAATGACTGAAAGATGAAAGGAACATGCTGAGGACAGAGAGGGAGGGAAGTAAGAGGCGGAGGGACGTGAGGAGGACGGAGGACAGGGACGGAGCAGCGTCTCCGGGTCTAACATGCGCATCTTTTCGGGTCGGCCGTTCCCTCGCCCAGCTTGGCGGCGCCGTTCCCGTTGGCGGGGTCGGCCGGCGGTTTGTCCACGCACTGCTCCATCCTCTTCATCACCAGGTCCAGCAGCGTGATCACCGCCTTGTCCACCTCCGCTCCGGTGGCTGCGCTCGTCTCAAAGTACGGGATCCTGAAAGGACCAAAAACACCAGTGAGAGGAAATTCTTCATAATCAATCTATCAATGTTGGGGTTCACAAACTTTTCTGATCCATGGCCCCACAAACAGCTAATAAAAATTTAAAGGAACTTTACAGATTTAGTACTTTAACTTGTATTTTATTGTAATCATTTCAAAATATATTTCTTTCATAAAAAACAAATTAAAGTGCATGATTTAAACATTTATTGAATTATTTTTTTTCTTTTTTGT